AGATTTTTTTGATTTTGATTTTTAACTCGCGAGGTTGGCGACACCGACTGACCACTCAAGGTTAGGTTAGGCGTGTACGCTGTCGGCGTGACTAGAGCACTACAACTTATGTTTGTTGTGTCTGTACGTTTTGCCTTTTGGTAATAACTAGTGTTGTTGCGGATTATTGAAAATTTGTAAATGGTATTTTGGTCTGTTTTCATAATATCAATTAATAAATTATCCAACGTGAAAGAACAGTAAGTACCTTTTAAGTTGTAATAAATGTATCTCATATCATTATATCAATAGTTTATAGTTGGTAAATCCAAATTGAATACCACACTCAATGTTTTCTATATAAGAATTTAAACTAAAATGTAATCTTAGATCGTAGTAATTTTGATGTGAGAAGATCATATCAAAATTTTAGTTGGTAGGTAAATAAAAATTGAATACCTCAGACTGAACTCATGTCTTTTTGTAGGTATAAAATGAAACGTATTTGGTCAAACGTTTTTTAAAATTTTAAATGTTAGTTACCAGTTATACACGATCTTACATACTTAGCTTTAATCTCTATATAACACTAATGCATCTACATTACTAAAGATTTCTCAGAACAACATATTTCTTCATATGTCTGTTACATACAAATTTTTATTCACACAGGTTTTGACCGAAAAATGTCTTGCCAATATACTACAGTTGCTATGGCTAATATAAAATAATTAAAACTAATGTTTTACAATTTTCAAATTTAAACTGCTTTTCTAAACCGGCTCACCCCACTGCAGAGCAAACACAATTACTTTAAAATTCAATAGAGATGTTCGTATTTTGATTTATATAATGAAAAATGTGTTTTCAGCAAATCGAACATTTTGTCTATTGATATTATAGATTGTTGGGACTGTGTAAGACTTATTATGTATAATGTATATAAAAGCTAAGACATCAATGGGTTTCAGCTTAGCGTCTGCGTTGAAATGGCTTGTTAATGAAATCGTTGTGGGCCCCACACATCACCCTATACTGATCATACAATTTTACTTTAAACATACTAAGTTTAATTATTTATTAATGTATATTAAATTACCTAGTACACAACACAATAGTTCAACAAAATAAATTACTTTTTAAAAATTATTTTATTAAAATAATTACTTCTCATAAAACTTTTGAATAAAATATTAAACTTATTAACTAAAAAAAACTTATATATTAAATAAATTCTTCTATTTTTAGTAAGAGAGTTTCGATTATTTCATCATGAAACTTAGATTTTATTTTAAACTCTACCAATAACTTCTTATTCGACGATATCGTATGTAATACTGATCCCACATACACGAGTGACGAATATACGACCCCGACTTTGTATGTTTTGTTATTAATATTATCGATAAGAATTAATATTAACTACTGTCGCTGAAAGTCTGTACCCGTATACAATTGCCAAAGTGCATACTGCGTACATAATCAACATGGTAGGGACTAGCAACTTCAGTGCGGTGCTGCCGTAATGTTAAGGATTAATCAATCCTAATGATTAATGAACTTTGAAGAAAATCTACAAAATATTATATTATAAAATATTAAATTAGTACTATTGAAAAATTTTTATAAAAATATAGCATTATAATTAATATATAATAAAAAAAAAATTATTTTTTCAATTTGTAACGCCACTGCAAGACTGCTACGTAACAGAGATAGGTATATAGGGAATGAGATGTGTAATTAATAATCCTATTTATTCTTTTTAATATACTAAATTCTGTTATAAATTTGTTCTTCTTGGTAGTTGTTAAATTGTAGGATAATGGTGAAAATGTATTCAAAATATAAAACAAATACTAACTAGGTACTAAATACTGACTCAATATTAGATTTTTAATACATATCAGTGTTTTCATTTTCTTTATGGCAATCCAAAGACAAAGTTTTACAAAAAATGTGTAAAATAATGCCCCCTCCACAAACCCATTTTTTGTTCAAATGGCAGGTTTGATATAAAAAGTACCTACCTAATTGTAATGGTTAATGTTCACAGTAACTTATTGAAAAATAAACAGTAAAGAGGACTCAATTCAATATGGAACCACTCAGAAATGATAATTCAACAAAATATTGCAAGTAAGAAAATACATTATAAATAGTATAGCAATTCAAAATTTAATTTTAACCTACATTTTGAAAGAATTAAATTTTATAAAACTAGTTGTTTTGATATTTTATGTATTAATAAACGTGTGTATTGTAGTTATCTAATTTATACACTAATAACCTATTAATAAAAATCAATTTTTGAAATTTCTTTTAGGCATAATGATATAACGTGCGGTTCTAGATTGTTGTCAATTCCTCCTATACAATCTGATAATCATGTATTTAAATACAATAGAATTATTAAACAGGAAAATACTAATAGTCAAATAGTTAATGGAAAAATTAAAGAAGAATATATTGAAGACACTAACCATCAAAATGATTATAGTCAATTATTACAAGAAGGGTATGAATATATTATATAATAATACTATAATAATAATTATAATTATAATATTAATTTTGGTGATACAATTTTTATTTTATTTTTAAATATGTGGTGACAACTTATAAACCCATGAACAATTTACAAAGATAGTTTATACAAATTAATAAATTGAAAGGCATAACAAGTGGGTCCCGCTTTGCTGTACACAAAAGTGTAATTTGGGTCACTGTAATGCAAAGCTGGGCAAGTTAACCAATTTTGGTTAATGTAAGTTTGCTATTGGTAAAACAAACATCATAACTTCAAATGTATTCATGGTATCAGAACAATTATTGTCATCAATATGTATACTTATATATGGTTATTACTAATCATTAATAAGTTAATCTCTAATTTTTCAATTTTTTCAATTTTTTCATTTATTGATTTTATTTCATAAAATGAGTTTAAGATTGTACGATTAATTTTGTTTACTTCGTCTGGTAAAAAAATAGATTTTTTTACACATGTTTTAATTATAGTTTCTACAGTTCTCTTATTCAGTTAATTTTGATGTATTTTCTCCTTTTTTTGCTCAATTACTAACATCAAGATAAAAGATAGAACGCATTTCCATTCTTGTTATGTTATAACTTATAATGACACTTCTTGTAAAAATATGTAATTGATTTTGAAAAATCTGTGCATTGTGAGTAACTTCAATTTTAAGAAAATAACTTAGTTGAGTCATAATTTTTTATGAAATGAAATAACTTAGTTACTAATTAAGATTACGTAACACTGGCCTTTGTTGTCTCCGTCTTACAAATGCGTAACATAGCAAATTCATGCTCATTGAACACTTGTAGCTTTGTTAGCTTATAAATTAGAGTGGATTGGACTATCATGCAACTTGATGGTAAGAATATTATCTGTGTTTGTATGTTTGTTTTTTACGATAGTTAAGTTTTTTAGCAAGTTATGCGTCTTTAATATACCGTAAATTAAAAATGATCATAACTCACATAAAAACTGAATTATCGTAAAAAAAAACCAACGTACAAACACAGATAATGTTCATACCATCAAGTTTCATAATAGGTCAATTCACTCTAATGTTTAAGCTAGCAATACTAACTACAACCTAGATAGCAAGATGATATTTTATTTATAATAAAAAAATATTATTTTTAAAATTATATGATTAAATTATTGTTTTTTCTCAGTATATAGTCATTAAAAAATATTTTATTAATGTGAATATAATGTTGTTTGGCGCCGATAATAATATTATATTACTTATACATTTTTTTCATTTTGTTATATTATTATTAAAAATGTAACAAAATAAAACATTATTTTGAAAATAATAAACTCACAATTATCTTTGACATCATATTAACATTAAAACCATGATGTTTTATAAATAACAAGGGCGTAACTTGTGTAGGGGGTTCATGGGTCCAGTCCCCTCCACACCATCGACATTTTAAAATTGAAGAATATTTTTTGTATTTTGTACATACAAATGTAGTGTCCTGCATCCATATTAAAAAAAAACTATTTTCGTGGGAAATACTAAAAAAAAACAACTCATTGAAAACTTTTGAAAATTTTACTTATATTTTTCTTTATAACGTCAAATTAAATATCATTACAATATTATATATTATAATACAGATTGGCTTCCTTACAAAATGTATTTAAAAAAAATTATATTCAATCTCGAACTTCATAAAAAAAATTATATTCAACCTTGAACTTAATAAATAATGTTAAACCTTTTTACATTACAGTTTATTATTACATAAGTATATTATAACATTGGGTTGCTTACAAAATGTATTAAAAAAAAATTATATTTAAACTTGAACTCCATAAAAAAATACCTAAGCCAACGCAACCATAGGTATCAAATTTAATTTTCATTTATAACAAAAGTATAAATTATGGACTATACAGACAATTGTAATATAATTAAAATGTTTTCTACTTCAAGTTAAACATGTATTGAATGAATCCATAAATATATACTTCAACTAGTTATTCTACATACCAACTAGATATTTTATAAACTAACAATAAGGGTTTAGTTAATGTATTTAAAACTATTATTGAATAAAAGTTTTAATCAAATTACAAATTACAAACAAAATCAAATGTTATAGTATTAAGTCAAACAAGCCTTACAATATTACATAAAATATTAATATTAATTTACTTCACATCAATTTATTAGAATAATTATTAAAATCTTAATCAATTTACAAGTTAAAAAATCAAATGTTATAGTATAAGTCAAACACACCTTACATTATTATATAAAATATTAATATTAATTTTTTTTCACGTCAATGTATTTGTATAATTTTTTTTTTAAATTTACAATTTATTTATTAGTACAGGAACTTTTTGGGTGGCATTTAGAATTACAAAGTAAATTATTTTTTAAACATATGCACCGTTTTGTGGTGCACTTTTGTTGGCATGTACATTTAAAAAACCCTTGTCCATTACCAATTGATTGGGATTCAGATGCTTTTCAAAGGCAAATATCTACATCTGGAACGTCTCTAAGCGTAATAAACTTTTCTGTGCATAAACTAAATTGTGACCTCGCGTAAAGTTGTTTTAGTATACCGTATTTAGTTCCTAAAACAAAATTATTTGAATTATTAATAAATAAATAAAACAAATTACCTAAACGATAAAATTCGTCGGTTGTTTTTTCTAATACAATTGCAATTATAGATTGTGGATTACATTTTGACCTGTCAACATTTGGAATTTTGACTCGTACGTTACATCCTTGAAGAGCAGGTGGATGAGACATATCTGATTGTAGTTTCATTCTTTTAGCTTGACGTTCTAAGCATTCTTTTGCTTCTTCTCTTTTATTGGAAAAATTTTCTTTATTTATGCAAAGTTGACACAATTCTTCCTCGGTATTCCCTTCATTTTCCATAAATATATGTTTGCATATTTTACAGTTATTTTTCTCTAAATCTTTGTTAATTTTATTATTTAAACTTTTGCTGTATTCAAAACTTTCAAAATATTGTCTGGAGTATTTGAAGAAATTCCTACTTTTGGGGAACATCCGAACATAGCTTCATAAGGACTTCGTCCTACCCCCCTATGAAAAGCTTTATTTTTCATAAATTGAATAAACCTTAGCTCTTCACTCCATTTTGTTGTGTTGTTGTCCTTCATCCAGGTAATTATCATATTCTCTATATCTTGATTTGCCCTCTCCACTGATCCTTGGGTTTGCCATGATTAATAGATAATTCAAGCCACATTTCTTTTAATGAATCTATTGTTTGGTTTCTGAATTCACGACCGTTGTCACTTTGTAGTACACTTGGAGCACCGAACACCGTAAAAATATCTATGAGACAATATGCTACTTATTCAGCTCTTTTCGATTTTAATGGTTTTAAAATACAAAATTTAGTCAAATGATCTTGAAACACCAACACAAATTTATATTCACCATCAGCTTGACTTTGATAATCAATAAGATCTAATTGACATCTACTATTTAATTCAGAAAAAATCATAGGATTTGTCACGATACCTTTTTTTTCACTTTTTTGTTTTTTTACACATGATTCACATAAATGTAAAAAAATTTTGACGTTTGATTGAGTAAAATTTTTATATTTTTTTTTCAGTTCATACATCATTCTGCCTCTACCACCATGTCCAATAGATAGGTGAATGTTAAGTAAAATATCATATAATTCTTCGTCGTGGACGTAAAATATAATATCAGAATTTTCTTTCATTGGACATATAAGTTTTTCATTACCTTGCACTTCTATCACATCATACCGTTGTACTAACCAATAATCAAGTGGCGATTCTTTTTTTCCTGTTTTAATACGTTACACTTCACTTATTAAGAAACCATATTTCTCTTTCAGCAAAAACGTGCTGTTATTACGTTCTGTTGCTGTATTTTTTATAATTGTATCAAATTTGGTTTTCATTTTAAAGCACACTTATTAGTTATTACACTATACAACACTAAAAATGATTAAACTAAATAGTAAATAAACTTGCAGTACACTGTCACATGAATAAGTCTAGTCTATGCCAAATGGTGTGGTTCAATACTATCTTATCTTATTATTTTTATTAATAACAACAACGGTAACAAATTTTGTATATTATCTAATCCAGTCCCGGTCATCTACCTAATGATATAAATTTCATATATTAATAAAAACCCAATCGGTATTTTATATATTAACTAGTAAAACCGTGTAATTTATATATTAACAAACATATTTAGGAATTTTATAGAATAACTAGTTATTAATAAAATAACGTATTACATACATTACCGCTAACATATATATAAAAGATTGTAATCATTATTATTATTATCAAAAATAAATACGTTTCCACTTTTTATAAACGATATATTTTTTTAAAAATAAATTGAATTGAAAAAATACTTTTAATTTTAAATCAATACAATTTATAAAGTTAATTTTTTAAGTAAATAATAATAATAATAATAATAATATTTATTAATTCTCCAATAAACAATATATACAAGTTAAATTACTAATAGACAAATTTTTGTTGGATCACCTCCTAAGCCAAAGGCTGTGCTAAAATAATCAACAGTTTCAATATTATTTGATAATATATCAATATTAATATCACCACACAAGATTTGATTAACATTTTGATTATATTGTGATAAATAATCATTCAGAGAAAACAAAAAATCTTCCAAAATATTACTAGGTGATCTATATAGACCTGTTAGATAAAATAGGGAATTGCCTTTATCGATAGTTATTTCAATAGAATTACAATTAGATATAATATGTTTTCGGACATTTTTAATTTTACATATGTTACTTACAAATATTGATAATCCATCTGATTTATCTAGTTTGCAGAGTGAATGTATAGATTCATAACCGTTAATCATAAAATTAATATCTTCATTCAGCCAAGTCTCCCTCAACACAATAACATCAAAACCATAGGCGTACCAGACTTCTTGTTTAGGGTATGCAAAATTTGAAGATTATTTTTTTTAGAAAGGAATACAAGTATAAATTTAGTTAATTATTAAACTGATTTAAATATTGATGATCATGACATGTTTAATGTTTATACAATTGAATATTAATTATTATAAAGTCATTCTTCTTTTATAATCAACTTTATTTTTGAAGTCATCTATAACGGCGTCGACATCAATATGTACTGCAATTTCTTGTTCAATTGCTATAAGCATTAGACTATTCAATCGTTCTTGGACCATTGATGTTCTTAATATTTTGATTTAACTTGAGTTAATTTGGAAAATGATCTCTCACATTTATAGCTGGTAACTGGAATAACTGAGAATTTTTTTTTAAATTATGCTAAAATTATTAAATAAAACATTTCTGTTAAACATGTTTAACCACTGTAACCAGATATGTAGGATTGATGTGCTTGATTTGGTTAACTTTTTAGGTGTTGTATCATCTTTTTTTTTAATTCGAATTTCGCTAACAAGTTCATCGTAATTACACTTAAAATAATTAGATAAAATATTCAAATCTGTGTAAGTAATATCCAAGTTTAATAATTTATCTATTGAACTTATTATATTTATAGTATCTTGATTAAATCGTTCATCTAAACCATTCATAATTATATCGAGCATTGGATAAAATGACCCGAGTCTTACTTCTTGTCTTCTTGTTCATTTGTATCTGGAAAGAACTGATTACTACCACGATTATCAATTCGTTGTGAAATTTTACGTTTTTTAGGTTTTGGTATAGTCACATCTAAATTTGTACACATAGAAACAGTTAAGTCATAAATACATTTAAAGTTACATTCAGAACACATATCATTAATAGCAGATCTAAGAGATTTAATGTAGTTCATAGCAGATAATAAATCACAATTTTCACTTTGTAAATATTTACTTACTTTATTAATCATTATAAGTATTCGTGGATTCTCGATTTCAGACGGCATTCAGCGACGGCTAGTGCGTATTCAAGAAATAATATATAATATATATCACATATACTCGTATAGTTATACTGAAATGTACGCGCATCGAAATTTGATAATTATTCAGAATAGTATTTGTTCGAGCCCGTCGTTTTGTAACTGTGTATACGTATATAATACGCATAAACGCAGTACGAGATATATTAAATTTTATTCGTGTTAAAATATTAATATATATATAATATTATATTTTAATTTTTTTTTGTTACTTGAGTATTTGTCTATAGATTTTTTTTTAGAATCTGGATTTTCTTGAATTTTCTTCGAATGTGGTGAAATAGTCTGGATTCCGATAGATTGTCTGCGATTTTCTTGAACTTTTTGTGGATGGTCTGAAGTTTCTGTTGAATCTTGACGAAACTAAATTACTTCTGTACACTACTTAACATACACCGTGTATAATATGATTGCCGATTTTAATAATAATAATTTTTTTTTTTTTGAGCGTAGAACTGGAATACTTTCGTAATCCGACCTTTGTCACCAACAAATGTTATGATTATACACAACCAAATAAAATAACGTACGCAAAAAGAAATAATTTATTAAAAGTTTATACTTTATTATAATTGCGGCTAATGATTTACATACGACGTATCGGTTCAGAAGTAACAATAAGACTGGCTGGCCTCCCGTATAGTTTCTTAGACGACGACGCTCCGTGTCACAATCGAATCCCTGTGTCAGGGGATTCCACGGTCTCGTCGTAGTATAACACACTATTCCTGATGTTCATAAAATTATCATATAAATTAAATATCATATTATAATATGATTCAGGGGTTCGTAACAATAGTAGTATACTTTAGAAGTTTCAATTACAAACTAATAAAATTATACAATCACAAAAAAATAACTAAAATAGTTATTCTAGGTTTTTATTATGTAATTTCGTCGAAAATTGAACTTAAAATGTCTATAAAAATAAACTGGGCCCATGTATTATTTAGAATTTTTGGTTACAGAATTAACTACTTACGTGAAATCTTGTTTTAAATTTTCAAACCTTAGATATAAAAGTCGAACATCTTATAAATTTTTAACTACAAAATAATTATTTAATTTAAATATGATAAATTTTGTCAAAATTCCATCTTTAAATTCTTATAAAAAAAATTGTGCCAATGTATTTTTAATATTTTTCAACTGATATTGTATGAGGAGCCTTGTATTATATTTGTACACTTTTAGGCCCATCAGATACAACTTTATTGATATTTATAGAAAAAACACTAAAAAAATTGAAAGTTGAAAATGTCCCTAAACATCTCAAAAAGAATAAAAATATTTTACAAATTGTACGGTGCATTGAAATTGCTGATATAAACATTCAGTGAAATTTTCATGTATCTACAGTTATTCGTTTTTGAATAACAATAAAATAAGGAAATCGCTACATGAGAAATCGAGTGAACATCCAATGTTGTAAAAATTTGAATTTCAAACGCTCATAAAAATTTAATTTGACTTTCTTATAGACATTTTTTTTTTGATAAAAGTAGATAAATTCTTTATCTTGTATTAAATTTTAAAATCTTAGATTTAAAAAGAAAAATTTTTACGAATTCTCAACTCAAAATAATTTTCTAATTTTCGTGATTTTTCCATATTTTGTCAATTTTTGAACTTTTAATTCTTACGAAAAAAAAACTGTGACTAATGATATTTAATATTTTTCATCCGCCTTTGAAACAATATAGTAGGAGCCTTGTATTAAATTTTCAAGTATTTTTTATTGATATTCATAAAATAAAAAACTAATAAAATTGGAAACTAAACTCTAAACAGTTCAAAATAAATCAAAATATTTTGAAAATGTTATCGTGTATAGAAAATGCAAATATAGACAACCAGTGAAAAATGCATGTATCTACGGTCATTTTTTTTTAAAGTTACACCAAAAACCAAATTCAATTTTGTTAAAATTCGATTTTGCGTAAAAATTCCCGTTTTTCCTTAATTTTTCTTTTGTTTTCTTGGCGCTTTTGAAAATTACTGGGAATTTTAAATTTTGACCTCCCCAATGCACCAACGATATTCACTTTCCAAGATACTGAAGTTGAAAATCGAAGCATTATTTCGACTACTTATCGTGTACACAGACACAAAAAAAAAAAAATTAAAAATTAAAATTAAAATAAAAAAATAAAAAAACACACATCATTGTAAAACCAATACATCCATCGTTCCATTCTGCCTCTAAAATTGTTTCCAATTTTCTTTTTTTAAAACCGATTTTGAGACAAAAGTCCGAAATTTTGAGGCCTTCCAATGACATATTTTATCAAGTCTTCTTGGCTTTCTAGCAAACTCGCATAGCATTTTATTTTTAAGGTTGGTTTTCACATTTCTTTAATTTTCCATGATAGATAACGAATATTTATACGTCCTTTAATCCATAATAAAATCAGCTTTCGAACAACAACTAAACATACTAATTACATATAGTCTAGAGAGAAAGAAGGTACAACATTAAAATTGTGCAAAGTTGTAATAATCGAAATATCACCAACGTGATGTTCTTTTAACTGCAATAAGTAATTTTGAAGTGTTCTATTTTGTGGATGGTTTAATGGTGAATTATAACGAAAATAAATTCTGTTGGACAAATATTCTCCTTCTACCTCACAGCGAGTACAAGAAAAAAAACCTGAATGGCCTTTGATTTGAAGCACAAATGACTTAGCAGGAACATCATAGCACAATGTGTAAACGGAGAAATTATATGTTTTATTTTTAATACAAATCCCGTTGTGATACAAAACTTTGGCTTCATCAACAAACAACTTCATGAAATCATTACTACTGGCAAGTTTTTCTCTTCCACAGTAAATCCCTATTGGAAATACATTAGTACTATTAGGACGAATATAGGCTAAAATGGGCCACAATTGTTCAGGATTACATTTATACAGTGGCGTACATTCAAATTTGCTCTGGGGGAGGTTTAAAAAAAATAACCAGCACTATAACTTTCTCTTTGCAACTACCCATTTTCCTAACAATCAAACACATTACACGTATAAATATTAATAGGCAAAATAGTAAAACAAATACAAAGGTTTACGTAACTCATGGCAGTTAAATATTATTTAATATGCACATAGTAAGTACAGAATATTATAAATATTATATTATTAATTATTTATAATAAAAATTCTATTGATTGTTATATTCTAAATTCGAATGATTTTTAAAGTCTTCCAATGCATGTTTCCAATCATCATATTTTTTTAATACAAATGCTCCCAATTTTTGGTTATTAACACCGGCTTCATTTTTAGTAAAAGCAACACAATATTTGCAATACGCACCATTGTTTACTTCTGAATAGGCCAACCAGGGAAAGTTAATTAGCCATTTATATTGAAATTTCAACCTCAAAACTTTTTGTTGTTTACCGACTACTGATATTTTGATAAGAAAATTGTAATTAATATCAGGGACCCAAATTTTGCTCAAAATGTCTTCTATTTCACTTTGCGTTAACAATTTATTTGTGTAATGTGCAATGTCAAAAATATTATAACTGGAAGATGTACGATTAATATCTGTAGTCGAAGGTGTAAACTGAGTGATAGGTGTATCAGATGCAGATGCAGTTGATGGTAATGAGGAACTAGAGGAACTTATAACTGTTTGAGTTGCATTTAATGAATTTGACAATGAATTCATTATTGAGGGTGGTTTCGAAAAAAAAGATTGCAGTTTCGATTGATTTTTTTCAGCCATGATTACTATTTATTTTACCTTCAAAACCTAAAATATATCGAAATCGAATGATAATGATTATGCTGTGATAATAATAATTTTTAACTTAACTACTAATTTACTAAATTTATTTTTTAATCAACGTTAAATTAACGAATTAATTTTTTTATTTGTAAGTTAATTTATTTTGTTTTTCATTTTTTTACATTTCATTATTTGAGTCTATTTTGTTGCCATGTCAAAATTTCAATAATATAGACATAAAATTATGATATAGTTTGCCGACACTAAAATCTAAAAATAAACAAAAAAAAATAAATCAATTACCTATTGATTTTATGGTTTACGGTTTTGTGAGATTATTAATTATTATTAACAGTATTCACGTTGATAGTTAAACATTAAAATTAAAAATACCTACTCAATACTCATCGTATTATGATGTACACAAATAATATCTGTTTGAAAGATAACTAAAATATATAATACTTATTTATTATTATTTATTACTTATGTGATAGGTAACTTCTGTACTTAAAAATACAATATATACTATATCTATATGTGTATGCATATTAACTTAACTGAGTTAAAAAAAAAAAAACTCAAAGTCTTGTGTGTTTATAATGAGTCGGTCGAGATAAAGACAATATTAATATGTATTTATATCCGCACGCAACTAACTGACTGTGTACGATCAAAATAATGTCTATTTTGATTGATATACCATATTATACGGCACCCATAATTTCGTTATGAAATCTTATTTCGTTGTTGGTTTGGTATAATGTTTACTGTTTGCTCAATAGTCATATTATAATGACGTATATTTGTGTATACACGGTTGATTAATAATAAGAAATTCATCAATAATATCACATTATTTTTTATTTTTTTTTTGTCCTGGGCGGGGTTTGAACCCGAACCCCCCCCCCCCCGTATGTACGCCACTGCATTTATACAATGGTAACCGATCAATTCCTACAATTATTTCAATTATATTAACATCTTGAACAGACTTAGTAAAATTTTGTTCAATTTCTTTTAAAATTTCAAAATGATAATATTTTCCTGGTACAACTGTTTGAATTTCTGAAGGCTTTTCAATATTTTTGAACATTATGGTTCTAGAATCTTTAGGTAGAACTTCAAAACATTTATGTTTTTTTGTAAAGTCAATAGTTTATTTAGAGCTATCTGCGGGATATTACAGTTAATGGCCCAATTCATGATCAAAAAATTAAAATGAG